TCATACATAGATAAGATTACTTCTACAGAGCGTTTGAACTTAGTCAAGGAATCCGGAACGATCACGTTTTTTGTTACCTTTTTGTAAAGGCTAGCCGCTCTGGATGTGAATCTTCTGGCTCTTATACTGGTTCTGGGCCTAGGGAGATTTATTTCAGTCTGACCTCCCCTGGTTCTGGAGTGAGCCATTCTATAAAAATCAAAAGAACCAAATTTATTACTATGGTACAGTAGCTTGTAAACCATACATACGTCAAATACTTTGCGCCGTAAAATCTTTCAGAAATGCTCCCGTATTGAAATGCGAAGATTCTACAGCATGTTATGCATGATTCCCACTTCGCTTGTGTAGCTAGCTATTTTGACCAGGCCTAATGGTTGCTGCTTTGTCGTTGCTAACGTCAGGAATTTCTGTTCAACATTCAGTACCTTTCCTGAATTTCCGCCTTTGAACGTTCCAGAGCACTAATGTTTCCTGATCCCTGATATAGTGAGGAAGGAGGACCACGAGAAATTACTGATTCCTGATAAAAATTATGTACTTGACCCGGAAAGGCTTACTTCCTATCCCTCTCCAACTTCTTCCACTTTTTCCGGTGATGCGAGCGCGCGTAAACGTTGCGACCCCATCTAAAAGTCATTGACGTAATTATTCTGTAATGGAACGAATCGGTGAGAAATAACGCCTGTCAAGTATTCATTGATAGAGATCACCCACACGAGAATTGCCTTCACGTTTATGAACCCTTCCCTGGATGCGCTGTCATCTGCCCCTTTGTGCTCTGTGGCTCGTAAAGCTTCTCTCGTGGCTCGCTATTAATTGAATGCAATTAACGTCATCGATGAGCGTTGAAGAGCACCATCAGCATGTTCCTCCCACCGGGAAGCGACACCTCGTGCTTTACGTTTCATCGATACAGCTCTCCACACCTATCTCTATTATTTCTGCCAAGGCCTTTTTAGCCCCACTTGCCCCTTTTTAGCCTCGTTTAATTATTTCGATTTTCTGAGTAGAACGTTTCTGGCATCTGGTCAGTGGCGAATGAATTCAAGCTAAGTATCTGGTCTATCTGTTTTGCGCACTTATGAAAAAGGCACAAAAGCGATTTTTGGGTCAACCTTCGAGACATTCGGATTCACAGTAGGGCATCGGTGCATGAGAACGACGAGCTAGACTGCCATCCTACAATGCCATGGCTAATGTCGAAACGGAAATTCCTCCCTTCCACCAAAAGAAGATTTCTTTCGAAAGCTTCCATTATTACGCTCGAAGGTGCATGATTGGCACTTCCGACTCGTTTGTCCCCGACTGACCACATTTACTCGTTTGGGAATATTCATCGATTATGCTGCTAGCAAACTGTGAACTATTATTCCTAGCAGTTGATTTTTAACTCTTAATGTAAGAAGTTCTTACAGAGAGCTTGACTTTGTAGCTTTCGCCAGAAGCACAGTTCGTTTTCATTGAAATATGTAATTATGTGTGTCCGATCTATGAATAGAATGACCACTATCACTATCTTACAGTGCTTTGCTCTCTCTCTCTCATGGGCATTCCTCCTCCTGATCATCTCAACATGGTCATCTTTACGTAATTTTATCACCTACTTTATTCCCTCGTTCATGAGGGGCACAAAATGTTACCGTATCGCAATTCTTGGACCTCTTGCCAATACCCGAACACATCATCTCCAGTGAATATCCTCTGCCTGCACGGCCAATACGACCATTCGAATCTCCACGTGAATTTTCTAGCCCATGTGCTCATAAACAGTGTAACATCAGAATTTCTTATGAGAGACGAAGCAAACTGGGAAGAGATTTTACAATGCGCTCACATATTGGGTTAAAAATTGCTCTCAGTTCTCGCCTTAACCGACGGGAACGATCGCGTAAACCACCGGTGAACGACCACGCTATTGAATTGACGAAGGGCACAACAAATCCACAACAGCAGCGGGGTTCCCCTCGCACCCCCAGCCTTTACTAGTTGTTGTCCCTTTCAATTACATTGCGTCCACGATTTTATAATATCTCTCATAGAACACACATTTTTACCCTTAAAAATTTGACCCTGTTAGTCGAAAAAGTTAGATTTTGCAGTTCTCGGAATTCGGGATGCAGTACTCACTTGTTGCGAACTAGTAGAGACACTGAGCGATTAACTTAATTCCTTCACAGAGTATTGAACAAGTTTTGGGTGGAGGGTAACGTATTCATCTATTTAGGGAAGCTCTCCCACTTCCAGGACGTCTGGGCCTCTTCTTTAAGAATTAATTGCTCCATGAGTATCCGGCTGGGGAAGTGCTCAGGCCTTGTGAGACCAGAGACCGTCGATGCTCATTGGAGTGTCCTGAAAAGAAAGACTTTGCTGAGAACGGTATATGCACCTCTATTGTGATTTGGATTGCAACGTAAACAAAATACCGTTACCATTAGGAAACTCCCAACTCTGGCATCAATCGTATTAATTTTTTGAACTCATGGTGGTATAAACTCTCGCAAAACATTGATCGTCAGCAGAATTACCCTTCTCTACCAGTCTGAGGGCCACTTCAATGGCACGCGAACTTTAATTCTTCCGAATCGTCGGGTTTTGCAAAGCTGCTTTCTCCTAACTGATCAGTAAGGATACCCCGATGTACTGGTCCATTCCAGAGTTTACGGAAAAGACTTTCTCTACCAAGGCTTTTTGATAGCATGATGTGTAGCCGTAATAAAATGAAAACGACCTATCCATTCTGTTGATTTACAGACTACACGGGGTAGCAAACGTTCTGTTTATCTAAAAGAAATCACATTCAATCGGGTATCAGCGCATTTTTTGAATCACCTTTAAATCGCACATTTTTTCTGCTGTTTTCGCTCCATATGTTTTTGTTCCAGAAAAACAATCCGTATCACCAGGCCGTACAGCGACGGCTGGTGCACTTCGACCGCCGTCAACCAATCTTCGGTCGTCAGCACGAGGAAGCGGGTGAGGCATTGATAAAATAATAACTGACTTGGCTTGCTCCTTACACTCAGGTCACGTACTGCATGAACAACCTTGTTTTATGCTTTCTAATTTATTCTATCGACTACTAGGTCAACTTAGTTGATGCAGTGGCTTACAGGGGTGGAAAGATAAAGGTAATCGCCGTGAATTCTCTTCTTTTGCTAGAATCAAACAAGCTAGCTTAGTTATCAGTTAGCTATGTTAGCTAGCCTATCAAAGGCGAACAGCGTTCACTGAGGAAAAAGCGAATAGGGGAGGATTTTTCTGACATTACAGCTCGGAATGGTAATGTCGCCACGTTGATGACAACCTCCAATGAAACTGCCTTTCCCTGAATATGGCTCACTGTGAATTTTTCATGAATGCCCCAGTTATGGGTGTGTGTACATTCGTGCGATTCGGGCTGCGCGCGGCAAAATTCGTGGTGGTTTAAACGACTCTGGAGGCTATCAATAGGGCCCAAACTTGAAGTAGGGTAGGTTAG